AAGTCATTAGAAGAAATGAAAATATTTTCTTATCACTCAGCTTTAAAAGCAGCCCTACAGCCTTTGCTGGTTTGTTACTCTTCAGGCTGATGAAAAAGGTTCCTCAGGTCCACCTGGCAGAGCAGGTCTAAAATTTATGCTATCATTAGAATAACCACGTGCTTATGAGAATAGCAACAACTTCCCTCCATGTGCCTTACGGCTTAGAAATAAAGTTTGTTCAAAAGGCCAAAGCTTTCTGCTGATCTCGGCTGGAATCAAGTAGACATTTCTTGATCTCAAGGGGTCAGTGTCAAGTAACACATCCGCCCCACTCACCTGCTGTTCCGTGGTTTGTGGATGGATAAAAGTCACAAAATCAACTGAGAAGTAACCAAGCACTCCTTTAGATTTACAGGTTTCTCCAATTTTTAAGCAGAGCGAATTGAGAACTGCTGGATCAACAGAACGTTGTGGAATGGTAGTGCCAGATGACCGCAAAGGACCGTCAGCATGGAGCTGGTCTCCAGATGACACTATTTTTATCTTGCCTGTTGGCTCTATCAGCATATCCACCGTGAGGTTTGTGACATTTTCTGAGAGCGGGAAGGCTTCTATCACACCACCTAGTAAGAAATGAATTAGCTGTTAAGCTAGTAATCAAATTCACATGTGATGCTCTTCAGAGGGCACAGAATGAAACCATCCAGCTCCTATTGTGCTCAGACATTGCAGGGAGGACTGCTATGGAGATACAGTAAGTAAATAAATGTAATGTGAGCAGCATAGCTAGAACCCATGAATCTCTTAGAGGAGAAAGAAGATATCTCATCTACTGTAGCACTGTACAGTTCAACCAGAGGCTTTTGAGCTGCAGATGCTTTGCAAGCAGTTCCAAACCGGGTATGTCACAGGTCTGGCAGGAGAAATACGCTCTTAGGTAGCATGAACGAAGTCGGGGCTGTCCTACAGCCCAGCTAAATGTCAGGCACAGAATAGCAGTGAAATGCAATGGAGTGGTATCTGCCACTGTGAGCTTATCTCGGAGATCCCCATCCATAGGAGGGCCTGAGATAAACAGTCTGCGCCTTTTGGTATTCATCCACAGGAGGAACTTGGTGTGTAGATGGGAAGGTTTGTACATGACAACTTCTAGCAAGGTTGTCCGTAGCAAAATCACAAAGAAAACTGGTTGGCATTCCGGATTTGTCTTTTTACTGCATATAATGCCATCAGTAATTTAGTTAGGATAAACTAATATGTAATAAAAATTGGTCCTATATATGTTAACTGGCATTATTTTTCCACAAAATACTTCCAAAGCTTTGAATCATCGTCTCTTCCACAGATAAAGAAATGTATGAAACGTATATATCCATTATATATAACGCAAAACGATGGCAGGGCACAATCACCACAAATTTACTACCCAACCACAAACACTGGATCTTTTCCATCCAAAATTCGGCATACAAATATAGGATGTTAACATGTCCATGCAGAGCCCACTCACACTCCCGCATACGATGATCTGCAGTGGTTAGACAAGGGTTATCTCTGCACTGCCTCTCATGGACAAACCCCGGCTCACTTCTGAGCTCCAGTCCAGTTGGGTACTGGCCAGCTTCTCTCCAAAGGTGCCATGAGCGGGTTTAATGCAGGAAGCCCTGCTGAGGACTCGGCACCGCGCGAGCAAAACTCTCCAGCTATCAGATTGGAACTCGTTCACATTCCTTTGGTTGGAGGGCAAGAAAGAGCACAGCAATGGTCTAACAAGGAGCCTGTGCCGATGTACTGTGAGGGACAATACGGCATTGCATTACTGATCCTCAGTGCCGACACCGCCTGCCTGGAAGGCAAAAGCTGGGGAGAAAGCTCAGCTCTTCTCCACGCCAGTTAAAGGTTATGAGCACATTTCACTTTATGCAACGTATGTGTACCCAGAGTTTACATAGAGCTCCCTTTCTGGTCCGACGGGAGGGAAAAGCGAGTCTCGCAGATGTTTGCTCACCAACACCTAACAAAGATGACATATTCTCACATTTACCTATGTGCAAACTCCCATGCTGGCATTCCCTAAAGCCCTTTGTGGAATGTGATGGCCTCCAGTACAGTAATCCAGGACTAAGGAGTTGGTGTTTATTGATTCAGAATCACGCGAGAAAGGTAATCTGGGATTCATATAGGTTAAATGCTCAGATAGGACATAGGAATGATAGAATAGTTGCCTATAATTCATTTGTAAATGAACATTTGAGGCATAATGGAGAAATAAAAGGAGACAAATATTTAAATGGGCCCAAGATTAACAAGAATATGGGATACAATATGGTATAATTACTCCTTATAACACTTAACAGCAACTTTGCAGTCTTATTTACCTTGACTAAGAAATGTTTGGAGGAATTTTTCCCATGTAGGGAATCGTTTCTCATTGACTGGCTGTACGTGCTGTGCTAAAAGGCCCGGCAGCTCCTGGGAGATCTTCACCAAAGCTGGCTCCTGCAGAAACAAATTAAATAGAACCACAAGCAATTTTACTACAGAAATGAAAACTGCTTGTGGGGTGATTAAAAACCAGGCCTCCAACAGGCAAAAAAAAAAAAAAAAAATGTGGTTACTGTTTACCCACAGTCAGGAAGCCTTTTTTAATTTTTCTACTTGCTACTCTTCCCTCCTATTGAAAACTGGCCTCTGAAAGACAATCCCCCCGCTTTCAGTATAGCATCTATTTCATTATAATTTATATCAATAATTTGATCTGGCAACTGAAAATGCTAAGCACTTGGTAACTGCTTAGGGATCAATACCAGCAGTCAATAACTTCTACAATGTTTATATTTTGAAACTGAGCATATCGAAATAGTCACATATGCCAGAAATAGCTCTACTGAGTCTATCTTTAAGCTGTTCTATTAACCCAAACACCATTTAGTTATTAAAAAAAAAAAGGAGGAATAACGAACCAAAAGCGCTTCCAAAGCAGGAGATATCCTTTTACACTCTCCAATCTGGAACATAACTTCACAAGTGTATTTGTGCCTCTATCTTTGGTACAGTTTGATTAGCCATACCGTAGGAGATAAACTAGCTTTTTCCTAGTTCCAAATTCTTTACTATATTATCACACACACAAACCAACCCCATTAAATACAGAAACTAACTGCATTGCTTTTACTGTTCAAAACTGTCCCAGAAGTACACAAGCATATAAAGTGCAAGGACCCTGACTCTATTGCTTCAGGCTCCTTTTCTTGCCGCTTCATAAGCGTTCGCCCGCTTCCCCTGGGTCTCTTTGCTTCTGTTTTACATCCTCTCTCTTCAGCCTCCCGTGCTTCAGAAGATGACCAACCGTCCTCTGATCTTGGCAATGTCCTAAGCCACAGTCATATTATCTTGAGCTCTGGAGCAACATGATAAAACCTTATGGCTAACATCTAAGAATAGGAAAAAAAAAATAAAAAATCTGTTTTTCTAGACTGGTGGGTTTGAAGAGATGGGCTTTGTCATGAAGCATATGATGTGACGTAACCAAAAATACAAATTAAAAAATCAGCTTAGTGTGATTTATCTACCAGAATGAGGAGGATGGGCCAACGATTAGAGTATCAACTTTGCGTATAGGACACCTAGATATATCTTGTTCCTCAACACAGTCTGTCTGAGACTTCGGGGAAGTGACTCTCTGTCTGTGCCTCAGCTGTCTAGCCATGAAACGGGGACAACTGCCCTCCTTACTTCACATGGAATTGAGAAAAAAAGGCCTTAAAAATATTGAGGTGCTTAGATAATGATACTGATCTGGGCCATATGGGCTCCTTTCACATATGAAGAAGAAAAGTATGTTGTTGACTTTTAACATCTCAGAAAAATTGCTAAAAAATTGATTTAGTCGGTATATCAACACATTAAGCAGCACGACCTTAACCTGATGGCTAAAACAAAGGAGCACATAAACCACGAGATCCAAATTCAGAATTTACCCAGATTCCAGCTTTACACTGCTCATTTCCTTAAAATCCGTAATGAGGAATTTAGGTTTTTGACAGCTCAGCTGACTAAAACAACAGAGCAGTGAGCAAACAGCAGTTGGCCTTATCTTGACTTGTATTTGCGTTGAAATATTGCTAAGCCAAGAACTCCCAAGATGAGGTGGTTCATTGCACAGTGAAAATAAACGCAGCTTTGGAGAGAGGATCTGAGCCACGATGGATGTCATGGAGCTGCTGACCTACAAATCGGTTTGTACCTGTCAGTGCGTTCAGCGATGCCTCTGTCACACAGTCTCCTCCCTGAGATCCAATGATTTTGGGTATTGCGTGATTCAAACAGAAATACAAAAGCAAACAAACAAAAGAAGAGGTATGCAACGGCTGCCTGAAAGCCTTTGATAAATTACTGGGAGAAAACCCAATAATCCCTGCTGGATGTGTAGAAGCATTGGAGACTGCGGTGACCAAGCTCATATAAGTAAAAATTAAACCATGGGCATGTCAACTGGGACACAATTTTCCATTGCAACAATTCCGAGGGACACGAGGGCAGTCACGCCAGCTCCATGGAACAGTGCTGGGGATAGCTGTATCTCCTTTTAGACAGAGTTGTTTTCGAGGGTCACACGTGGCTGTGAAAGAAACCTCCCTGAAGTGGGTGCGAAAGCAAGCAGAACTTCCAAACTTTGAAGCGCATCGACGGGCACACTTAGCTGGCTCACAAATGGAGACGGCCAGTAGGACACAGACTCTCCGTTCACCTCACCTCTACATATAGTAACATCATACACTACTACTCTCTGTCCATACGATGGACATTAGACAGGCAAGACTGGTGTGATACTTCCTCAACAGAGCTAGTGCTGCTTAAATGAGCTCAAATAGCACTTGAAGTGGAGTTGAACAGAGGACGAACCCAGAAGGTCCGTTAGGGCAACGCGGACGCACGGTGCCCGGCTCAGGCGCATCTCACAGTTCGTACTCGCTGGCTGGGAAGGACGTGTGCATCCAAACCAGTCACCTTACAGAAAGAAGACAGGGGCTTTTAAAGAAATAAGTAATGCAAGAAAATCTGAAAAATGTTCCCGTGAGATTCAAACCCAACATAACACAGTGCTTTTAACAAGTAAGGCGTAGATACGGTGTTCACAGAAGGGAGTCGGGCAACTGCTTTTTAAGGATCAGCACCTGGAATTCTAGTTGAAGGTTTTTTGCAACTGTAAGCTCTAAAAAGGCAATAATCCTGATTAGAGGGAGTTTTAGTAGGCGAATTCAAGCTCGGATCCAACATTCACTCACGAAGTCAAACCTTTTAAAAGGATCAGCGCTCGGTAGGCTAATTTCATTTAAATTGGACGGTATCTCCAGCAGAGCTTACCAACGTTTTATCTCTTGATGTGGCCCAAAACAATTCCGAATCATAGGCTCAATGGAAACAGGAGCATTTGTTCCAATCTTTCAGCTGATGTTTCTTAGCACCAGGAAAAAAGGAGCAGCCCAAGTACTGTTTACATCGTGTAGAAATCTTTAAAATCTAGCCACATCTGTTTTGTACCTTTTTATAACAATAAATAAGCATAAAAAAAATTATACCCTTTACCCCTAAATATAAAATAATTTCTCATCCTTCTGCAAGCTGAGTTTTGAAGGGCTTTCTCAGAATGGCACTTGCAACAAAAAATTAGGACCGAATGTGGCCTATGTTGAAGGCACTGGTAGGAAATCTGCTCGAGACAGGTCAGTCAGCAAAGAAAAGCCTGTTGAAAAGATAAGTAAATAAATAGAAAGAAGAAATAGACTTAGAAATAGGAAGAAAGACCTGAGGACAGAAAGAGGTTGCACAGCAGAATGCATGAGAAAGACCTAGGGCTTTTTAGCTAAAAATCAGATTGAAAGGGAATTATTTAGACCTTGCAAGCAAATAGAGTGGAGAAAGTAACTCCAAATAAGTAAAGCTGACTGGGCCAGAGAGAATAAAATCAGCTGACAGATCCTCAGCGATACAAAGTGCCACATCTCTGCTGAAGTCAATGAAGCTATAGCAATTTATGCCACTTCAATGGCGCCATGACAAGTCATACCATTTATGCAGTATATCCTTTATATTGGGATCAGTGGAGCTATGATAACTTATTCCAGCTGCCTTGATGTGAAGCGGTCCAGCCTGGCTTATTCTTATGTTCTCAGCGACACCAGCAAACGTGGCAACATTGGAAGAGTCTAGCGACTGCTGACTGTCCAAATAACTTTCAATATTTCCTATGTTGCAAATTAAACCGATTTGAGATTTTTTCTAATTCAGACAGGTACACGCCAGCCAGAACCACAAGCTCCCACGCTGAAGAAAACAGTTTGAAAGGTTTATAAAAATGGAAATGTTTTTGGAAGTGATACACTGAATACCCTTATCTACTTAAAAGTTTGCAGCCTGATTTAAAGCCCAGGCATTTAATTGTTAACTGCAAATTTTAAAATTAAAAAGTGCCAATTTTGCCTTCCATGAGCTGGAAAAGTATGTTCTGATAGAAGGTAACATCATGTAAAACAGCCATCATTACCAAGTAACACAAATGTTTTTCGTATGTAAAATTGCTTTGTAAAATATTTGCTCCATCTGCTGAAAGTAGCAAAGACAATTTTCCCTGATAGCTAATGGCCCATTTCAGCTGTATGGCAAGCGATTCACCGTGGCTGCGACTTGCATTAAGTAGAATGGCGAAAACAGCACACAGAATTCTCCACTTATGTAGTATTATCTACTCACTGCTTCCTGAGAGCCCGTCCCTCATTATCACGGCCTTCGCTTTGGATCAGCACACAGGACTAGGGTTGCTTTGACTCAAGAGGCTTTTTGTCAAACTGAGGCACATATGCTATGCTTCAATACAAAAGCACAAAACAGCCACTTTCCTTGACTACAAGAACAAGAAGGTTAGTTCTCTTTCAACTTTCCAGCACTTAAACTGCTGTTCCTTTTTTCACACCACATGGGGCCATGGTTTTCTCTTCTGGCTCATGCTGTCACTCTGCACGCTGAGGATTTCAATATATAAAGATCAAGCACTTCTTTTAATTCTAAATTCAACTACATACACACACACACACAAAAAAAAAAAGAAAAAAACCCCCACTGGCCTAGTTCAAAAAACCCCTCCCAATGGGTTGTTTCATTGTCTGCTTTGCTATTTACCATACCTCCATTGAAAAGCACATGTTTACATTGTGCCCTGAACTACTTCAACATCTGCTAACAGACCAATAAAAAATAAATAAACCAGGATTGTTTAGAAAGAGAGATCCTTTCTATTTCCTCCCAACACTCCTAAACTGGCAACGGCAATATGCTGCGAGATCCCTTTTCGTAGATGTCATCTCGGAAAACAATATATGCGGGGGAATTAAATACAAAATCACTACAGCCTGTGCTACCAAAAATCAGACAGAAAGAGGATCTTGAAAGCTCTATGATCTTGTCAAATTATTCTGCATGTTTATGCACAGCATGTTAAT